ACTAAAGCCTTATTAAGGTAAATTTAAGATCCGATTACGGTTAAGTGAGTTGGCAACGGATTATTCTCAATGAGCCAAACCAAACCTTGCATAGCCATGAGTTTAGGCCTATAGTTTGAGATTTATTTTGCTTTTAAACAGCATTTAGTTCGAAAATACATTGGACTAATTAAGATTAGGCATGCATTAAGACTGGTTAGTACACAAGTCAATTTACTTCCTAACAAATCCTCGAACAATTGGGTAGAGGTGTACACGGCAGAGTGAAGACAATAAGAGGCTGGCTCTATACCCTTGATCTACGTACTCTATGACGTAAGCAATGACGTATATATGATATCATGTTACTGCCTGTTGTGCCTTCGACGAACACCCTGTGTATTTTCATTGTTGAGCCTACAGGGAACTATTACAGTTAAAATTGCTAATACAAATACGTACAAGAATATTTAGACCAACACTGTTTCACATAATGAGAAAGTTAACTTTGAATCTATATTTCAGTGTGTAGCCAGGTTTGTAATAAAGAAATCGTATTCGAATAAGTGTTTAATATAGTGTGCTAAAATATTAAAATAAAAATTTCCTCTTAGAAAAAAAAAAATATTTGATGCGCACACAAAAGGTGATAGATAGCAATTAGCATTTAAAGTTTTTAGAATTTTTCATTTTGTCAGAACGAAAAATAAGTTTACATGAAAGAAACCGGGTTTAAGAGACAGCGGCACTCTATGTCAATAGCTCAACTGAACTAAGTTCTCAATCCAAAACCATAAGACTAACCAACCCAAGCCACAACCTTGCAACAGCTTTAACATAGGGTGTAATGCAATTTAATCTAAAGTACTTTGCATGAACATGCTTTTTAAAGGTCATAGTTGAAAAGTAGGTCTCCAGAACATCATAGCAAACCTAATTAAATTGTTATCGTCCTAAATAAAAGTTGGATAAACTCGTAATTCATTGTGCAGCATATTAGACAAATCAACCTCAACGTTGCAAATAACATTTTAACTGGACAAGTTTCATAGTTTATTAAAGCGAATACACTAATTGACAACCCAAGTATAATAGACGTAGTATGGAAATCTTTTTGCTTAGGCCTATGTACTAGGGCTAAACAAAAGAATCATGCCAGATGCATACATAAACTAGAAGAAAAGTCATACGGTAGTTAACTATTTTAAAGAGGTCAAAGCTTTCTGGAGTAAACTTCTCCTCCAGCAAAGCTCGGTCCCCAGTTACTATCTATAGAAACACCAACAGACGGACACTTGACTATCCACTCTACGACACACAAATTAGATTTACGAGTTGAAAATAAAAACAAACCGTGTTCTTTGAAGAATTTACGACGCCCGTGTTTGCGTACACGAAGACTTTATTGCTGACTGTGAAAGACGAAACAGCTGTTCTACGTGATGAGAGATCTACGCGATACAACTACACAGGGAGTCGGAAATAAACTCTTTGACCAAAATAGAGTCGAAGATTATGATTTAGAGCTGCAGGTTTAGATATTTAGTTTTGACGTCAGAGGTTTTTCACCTCTGAACTAGTTCCAGGGCTATTGTCATTCATATTTTGCTGGGAGTAATGGAATTTTCTGTGGAGTAAGACGTTATTTTGTATGGATCATCGCCGGCCGATATACAGTGTTATTGTTGCAGTTGAAAGCAGACACTAATAATTGTTTAGCAACGTGAAAAGGTAAGGTTCACACCTTTCAACACAGACTTCAAACAGCTAGGCTATACACAATAAAAGAATTCACAGAGAAAAACACGAACTCAAAACACAATACGTAAAAACCCCCAAACGATCGTCACGAAGACACCAGAAGTAGGCTAAGCGAAAAGCCGATGCTCTTGCCTTCTCGCACATACTTCCAGACTACTAGCAGTAAATATAACCAGAAGAGAGAATACGTCTATAAAATCACGGTCGAAGTGCCATCGCAGGATCGCCACACTCGCGAGTTGCGCTCCAACACGATCGCGACGCAAAAGCAATCCCGTTTAGCGTCGGACAAGGAGGTTAGAGGACCAGAGACCAGACTAACCGGTTCCCAACAGCATCCTATCACGATCACAGCCTTGGTATCGTTAGGCATCGGCATATACAATGGCCAGTGTCATCCTTGCTTCTGCATCCACTGCATCTTTAATGGATTTGATTCCAGGAAACTGGACGAAGCCAAAGAAAGGGTAATGGAAGGTTAACAACTCATTCTAACCTATTATGTAGGGTAATGAGTTTTTCAAATTAGACGAAATAATGTTCATTATTTTTGTTCTTTTGACCTGTTTCTAACTATGTCCAGTAAGTGCTGCCAAGGATTCAACAAGGGTACTTAAATAGGCAAAAAAGGAAAATATAATCAAAGTACGTAGCCTGTTGTGTTAACAACTACGATGTTGATTTTACTTTCTCTCCCTAAACATGGTACGGTACAAAGAAAAGGAATTGTATTCGTCAATCTTTTCGTGTTTAAGATTTGGGTGAAGATATCCATTTTGACCCTCCTGAACTCCAAAAAGCGATTAATTCGTACAGTAGTACACTACATACAACACACTATTACTATACTTGAACTATTATGATATTTGGGATGTAGATACCACCGTGATGTATCAGTTTGGCCCTCCTGAACACCAAAAAGCGATTAATTCGTAGTCAAACTATTATGAAATTTGGTATGTGGGTTCGGGTAGCACCATGGTGTATCAGTATGGCCCTCCAAAACCCCAAAAAGCGATTTTATATAAAATTTTGTATGTGGGTACCAACGTGATATATCAATTGATTTTTATAAAAATTTAGTGTGTTGTATAGTATTTTTAAACAATTTTTTCAATGGGCTCATAGGGTTTCTCCCGGCGCTTATCAAAGTAGACAAGGATGTTCAAAGTATGTGTCAGTATGAAATAAGATACCGTTTATTTTCTATGTGATGTATTATGTAACTTGATTTGTGGCCAAGGAAAGCACGAGGAAAGTTCAATGTTGGAACAGAGATGGTACAGTATCACATGCGATAAGACTGTAAATGTCACCCCCAACCCCAACCAAGAACATAACGAAATGTAGTCTAAAATGTAGTACATATTATAACCATTCTGAAAATTAATCCTTATTTCTTCAATAAATATTGAGTTGATCAAATGTATGCATAGAGATGACGGCATCAAACTTCCACTGAAATATGGACTTTTGCTAAGGTTAAAATTCTCGTGAGGCGGGTTGTTTGATAGATTAATCTCTATGTTGCCAAGTTATGCTCTATGGCGCTTTTGCCAACAGGATACGGAAGTAGCTTGGCTTGTAGCGGTAGGCACGGGGCTGGAGAATGTTAGGTCGATAGAGCCCCAACATGCTATCGCTACTACTGTTATGTTATAACTGACTCAGATAAGTCTAATGGGCATCTGCTCACAACACAGCCAGACCTGCTTTTAGTGAATGGTTTTAAACACTACGTTGACTATATACACACCCCTTTAAAATTAGCAGAAATACATCATTCAAACGTATCTTCTGATCAATTGTTATGTCGTTGTTCAAACAATATTTAAGCTATGTGCGCGTACGATAACAACCGATCAAACGATAGTCACTAGTAGGGCCTACATGCTTAACCAGGCCGGTAGTTCTTTTTGTCAGGGTGACTTCCAATCTTTCATCTGTAGCCTAAATTATGTTTAACTATAACAAAGGAATGAACCCATCAGTGAATAGCTTAGGCATTTTCTGGCAGCTTAATCAATGACAGGTTAAAATACTGTTTTTCTAGCATCAATTACATTCTAGAAACGATTCAAATTAAACGATACATGTAAAGTGTATCGTAAAATATACCAGCAATACAACGCCTTATTATTTACGGTACCCCCGTATTTAAAAGTACAGTAAGATCAAATGTCTCCATCGTAAAACTGTTTCACATTTCTTACTGTAGCCACTTTTACATTAATTTTACATTAAATTATCATTGAAATTAATGAAAGGATCAAATTTATGTGTTCCTAGACACAGAACAGAAAAATCGAAAATTTGACAAAAACTACTGTACCTATTCAATGATCATAATATAGTTTGTCGTTTTTGCAGCTTATTTCTGTATTGTTTTTGGTTTGCTGTGTGATGTGTGCTGTAATTAGATTGATGCCATGTTAGTCAAGATTGGACTTTAGTTTGTTTTTCAGAATGACAATGCCTATTGTATTGTTTTTACCGAATGGCTAATAAAATCATTGACCATTTATATAATCGATAAAACAGAATAACAATGGCTGTATTTTAGTAAAAAAAACCCCGTTGTTAAAAGACAATGTGCCGGTACCGCAATTGAGTGTTTAGTGTTTTGAGTTATAATTATCTTATTTAGGTACTCCGTTGTCTTGAAAATAAAGCCGGGTAGTAATTGTTCAATTCTGCAGTGACTGTTGTGATCAGTCTGGGGAAACTACTGGAACTACGTTCGCACTTTGCAGTCACAGTTCACGCCTGATTGTAGCCTACCCAACCGTCATGTCATACCCCATAGTCGCGCCCGACACTGGAAAGTAACATCTCAACCCCTGTAGCCGATTACCACGCAATTGGTTGTTTCATACATTTAAGTATATAATATCCGTTAGTTTGAGCAAGAAACATAGCTTGAAAAAGTGTTCGAGACTCTAAAATCCAATCTTAATTAGAGACATACATAATCAATGCAGTGTAAACTCAACAAGACCCTCGATAACAAGTCACTCTTGATATCGTTATTGTAAACCTCGGCAAGAGGTCATCCTTGAAAGCTTAGCAGGTCTAATTCTTATTTGATAATTCCCAAGAGAGACTTGATGTCAAAGTTCTAAGCTGTGACTCTTCGTTCTACCCCTTCTTCATTCCTTCTAGACGCTTTAACACAGAAATTTCAAAGACTTTCTTCATATGTTGCCAACACTAAAACTAACGAACATATAACTACAAATACAAGCTTTCGACCTCCCTACCTCTAGTTTCTGCGAGTATTCCTCAGCGAGTCTCTCGTTCTGGCGGCTCAACTCCTCGTTCTTCTCCAGGAGCGCCTTGCCTAGCTCTGCAGCGAGGATGAGGTCCTTCTCCTTCTGTTGGAGTTGAGCATACACATCCTCAGGGTCCGCCGAAGGCTCCAAACTCCTGGACTCCACGTCGTATATGTAATCCTCCAAGGCGTACTTCGGCTTCATTTTGTCCCTGTGCATCATCCCCCTCTTGAGATTGATACTGTTGCGTTGTTTGGTCGCGAACATCGACCCAAGGCCTAAGTCACACAACACTACCTACCACATAACAGACACCGTTGGAACAGTTCACTCGCGCACACGGACATAACCAAAACAAACAGCGAGACAGCGGCGCGGCGCGGCAGACGACCAACCGTCTTGGCTCAGGTGTACCAACCTAATGCCAATGCCGCCTTCTCCACCCCCTCCCATTACCAATCACCTGTGCGACAGTGCTGCCAACGACGGAGCGCGCGGGAGTTGCAGTACTACCACTACCGCAGCGAGTACAACTCTCGGTTTCACCCTTTCCCAGGGCTATAGTCAATGCTACTACCCCCTATTGTCAGTATTGTCACTATTGTCCCATCTCCCATCGCCACCACACCAGGCAAGGATCAAATTTGTTTCTATTTTAGCAAATTGTCCTATAGTTTAGGAAGTTAAACTTTAAACTGAAAACTAAAATTACACAAATACCGCAGAGGCAAACAACTGAGGAAATCAGGGAATGTTTTATTTAGCCAATTGTTGAATTTTTCAACTATTCCAACGGTAAACGGTACCAAAATATTAGAAAATTGGTTCATAAACAATGGAGGAAAGTCATTTGAATATAGCCTACTGTGTATCAAGCAATATCTGCAGCCATTGGGTAGCATCAGAGCATCACTGCTAAAACAATAAAACAATTAGCTGGTTTAATTATTGGCTACATAATAAGCGAGAATATTGATTAGCACAGTATCTAAAAAATACATTTCTTATTTTATTAAAGATTAGATTGAAAAAAGTTAGTATCGTTAGAATATCAAACTAAAAATGCCAAACTAAAACGTGACCCAGGTATTTTTTCAGATGTAGTTTTTATGTTATTTAAGTTTAAACACCTTAAGGTCCGCACTTGAAATAAAACTTATTTTCAGTACTGAAACTAACAATATATACAAATATTTCCCCCAAATAAGTCTTTGCGTCAGTAACGTACCCAATTTTTAGTGTGTTATTGTAGTTTTTTCGTCCCAGAAATGGCACCTCAAAAGGTCGGTGGAGAGTTAGAGGACACCCTGTGTTGTACCATCAAATAAAAACAAAAATTTGAACGAAGTGTTTTTGGTCTCTGGGAATGGGAATATCAAAATGGACGAGTATATCGATCCCGGGTCTAGGTCTTGCCGTGCCACATACGGTAATAGCATTGGCTTATAGCTACTTCCCTATTATTTAATATAAATTCGCGTGGCTAAAACTAAAAAAAAATTAAATCACGTACCTAATGAAGGAAGGTCTGTAGCCTATGTTTAGTGGAGAGATTGAAAACGCCGTAATACGCTGTGAGGCAATCGAGAGGCAGCAGTGTGCTGCGGCTATTGCATACATGAAGATTGCAGGCGCTTTCCGTTAACGGGGAAATAAAATTTGTGCAATATTAGCTTTCCAAATTATTAGCCAATGCCTTTATTCTGGTTGTACTTTCTGTTTGAAAAAACTTCAGTTATCACTTTGAAATGCAATTTAACTAACGTTAAAGTGAATTTCCCTTTTTTACAAAAACTATACATTCTCTATAATACCATTTATAGAGGGAGAAAATAAAATTATAAATATTTTGATGATTTTGTATTTTTTAAATTATTAGTACTAAAACTAGTAAATAATTGACATGGTGGAATGGCTTCTGGATCGTCTGAATTAACTATATAGTGGCCTACAGTAACAAGGTAATTTAAACCACTATATAGTAAATAATTGATCATGTTATGGCTGTATGTGTTACAGAATGTTTCTTTTCTGACCCATAAATCAATTTAAACCAAGATAAGAAAACGTGCAAATTCCTGATTGCGATGCTTATTTCTTAAATGATATCAATTAATAACCTCTTTCCTCCAGCTTAAAATATAGGTACAGAAGAAGTATAATACAATTGTCTAGAGAACATTATACCCTGGCCTGATTTGTTCCAGGAAGGAGGATTGCTATATCTTCTACATGTGTCGATAGCTTTGTCGTTACCGACAAGTTGAAGTTTTACTGCTGAACTTGAAAGGGCTTCGGCTCTCATGACAAATATTGAAATGAAAAAAAAAATGAACTTGAAAGGTATTTATTTTTCTATTTCTAAGCTATTCATAAAATTATGAAACCTATATTATACTAGCATAGTTTTGATTAAAAGAGCCTCCCACCTTTGGCCATCCATGGTCAAGAAACAAAATAAATTGTACTTCTTCTTTTCAACTTTGAAACTTAACCACAGTCAAGAAAATTAATCTCATAATTACCTTGCCATACCATTGATAGTCGATTTGTTCATAGCTATAACGGTGATTAGAATTAATGTAAGTCTAAACACAAATTTATTGTTCATTATTATACTTTTGTTTATTTACGATATACAATTATACGGTAAGCAAAGTATTACAGGAACTATTTAAAAACGAATAACAGTCATAATTTCCGATGAGTAACTCAAATATTATGTAACTAATGGAAATACTCAGCATGTCCATACCAGTTCAATATAACCAACATTTCTTGTAAATATTTTACAATTTTTCAAAAGCCGATCATGTTTTTTAGTGTTTTCTACAAATGTTTCCCACTCATAACCGTATTAGGTTGTCCATGATTATATTCGTCATTGATAATGTAGCCTGAATGGTATCACCATTGTCGCCAGTATTTTAACAAATTTCAGAACTTTTTTTAAATAGAGATACTTTTTGTTCACTTTACTTAAGAACTACCTGATTTCCTTCATAACATGTAGCTGTGACAATTGTATTTGCTTCAATTGACATTCTTTTGGTTCATTTCTGTAATAACGTCAATTATATTTACCTGAGAAAATGCAGAATTAAAAGGCCTGATGTTGTTCAGATGGTTTTTTGTTTCCCCTAACTGAGTTACTTTTATGATTAATTTACGATTACTTTTATAAAAACATATGTTCTAATGTCATTGTCATACCAGTTTTATTTAGCCTTAGAGGGGGCTCCTCTGCAATTATCACAAATTTAATCCATGGTTTCTACTAAAGCCTGTCTCATGTTAAGTTGAGGCAGACTACCTGACCAAGAGGGTGGAACAGGACAATGGCTAGGCATCCCTCCCGACCCTTCGAGTAAATCCCATTAACCACGCTTCACTGAATACTTCACTTAAAAAACGTAAATATATTGATTAATTGAAAGTATAATCAATTCGTCATATCTGAAAATAATGTGTTCTAGGTAAAAAAAACAAAATTTTTCATTTTCGTCCCATGCAAATCGGCCGACTTTAAGTATTAAAACAAACTTTTCCCCTTATAACTAAGTAAAATATTTAATTTTAAATTACTAATAATTGATATTGCGTATTATACTTTGTTCATAATATTTAGGCGGTTTTAGGGAAGAAATCTATCACCTCCACTTGACCCTTACCTTTAAAATAATAGCTCAACAGGTGATAATAACCAACCAAACTTGCTGTACCATTTGAAAACTCTGTATGATAACAGAAAAGGCAAGTTAAACACGGAATTTTTAAATGTTACAGCGAGTTTGGTTAGTTATGTTAGGTAATTTTTTGTAGAACAGTTTCATTTCATTATTTTTTGTTGATAATGAACAATATTTATCGTAGTTGTCAGCTGATATGTTTCAATTTGTTAATATCGATACATCGAGGAAAAAATCATCGATAATAATGAATGTTCCCTTTAACAGGAAAGTACCGATTAATCAACATACATTAAATAAAAAAGATGTTAGGGGAACTTCTCCTCAAACCTCCTAAATATTGTGAAGAAGTAAATTGTGTAGTTATTACAAAAAGGTATGAGATTTAAAGTTAATGAGTTAGACCATACAGTTCAACTTTCTCTGCGTTATGAATAATAAAAGAATGCTCTATAATATTCTGAAACGAATTGATTATATTAATATAATTATTATATTCAGTATATACTACGTAAGTAGTATTATTGATCATCGAACTAGTATGATCATGAGGACCCTTCTTCCTGCGGAAACAGCTGTAATTTAGTTGGGTACATAGTTGTAACATAGTTGCAACCGGACGTCCGAACTATTAAGAAGCTACGCATAGCGTTCGTGAATCTAATTCTCAGAACCAAATTTTCGGATTTCCGCCTGAAATGAATGAGTCGTTAGCAGGAAGTGGTCATTACCAAATGACAATGTGCATAGGCTTTAAGTACCACGACAAACTGTTTCTGCATCATTGTTAGCCATGGCAGCTGAGAAGACACGCGAAAGGATCATACTTGCGCAGAAGTACATCACCATACATGGGCGAGGGAGTGTACTTAGTAGTGGCGAGAGGAAGATGGTATTAACAGTGTTTGGTAATTTACTATCCGAGTCAACATCTTCACTCCGAGAAGTAGCAGAGCGGACAGCCGTTTTAACGGGGACAAGCAGGGCGACGGTGGAGCGTATACGGAAGGAAGCAGATGAAGGGAAAATTGTAACACCTGGTAAAAAGCGACCGAGAGCGAAAGGCACCAAGACGAGGATGAAAAAAACATCAGACTTCACAAAAATTGGAATCCGACGCATAGTGCACGACATGTTTAGACGGAACAGACCTCCCACGTTGGCAGCGATAACAGAGAAGGTGAATGAAGATGATAGTTTGCCAGCAATGAGCAAAGCAACAGTTCATCGTCATATAACTGATCTTGGATTTGTATATGAACGCCGGTCTCGACGATCAATGTTTATTGAAAGGGACGATCTTATTATTTGGAGGAGGAAGTATTTAAGGGACATACGAAAATACAGACGTGAAAATAAACCTATTTATTACCTGGACGAGACATTTTTGAACGCGGGACACACTGTGAAGCATGCATGGAGACCATCGTACATCAAATCCGCACGGCACGCTGCGTTGGAGGGCGAAACAACAGGACTGAAAAACATCCCAGGACGTGGTGGGCGATTGATCGTTGTTCACATTGGAAATGAAAATGGGTTCCTGAAGGAAGCAAGTGAAGAGCTAGTGCAAAACGACGTGAGGCTGATTTTCCAAGGGAAGAAAAACAAAAGGCGGCTTGGAGGGGTAGACTATCACGAAGAAATGAATTCTGCTTGTTTCGAAAATTGGTTCGAGAACAAGGTCCTTCCAAACTTACCACCTAGCAGCGTCATTGTAATGGACAATGCCTCCTACCATTCAAGAACACTAGAGAAATTTCCAAATATGAGCTGGAGAAAAGACGACATCCAACAGTATTTGACGACTAAAGAAGTGGAATGGACGACCACGTTAGTAAAAGCTGAACTTTTACAGCTGGCAGAACCATTTCGATCAGCATCAAAAAAATATGTAGTTGACGAGATGGCCGCGGAAGCTGGACACACAGTTTTAAGGTTGCCTCCTTACCACTGTGATTTAAATCCAATTGAATTGGCATGGGCAAATGTTAAGAACAACGTAGCGTTGCACAATGTTTCGTATAAGTTACAAGACGTCGAAGAAATGTTAAACAATAACATATCAAATTTATTGCCCGAAACATGGAGGAGCTTTGTGGAGCACATTAAGAAAGTAGAGGATTCATTGTGGGAACTTGACAATGTTGTGGACGAGATTACGGATGAAAACCGCATTGTTGTGAACATCGGCAACTCAAGTGATTCGGACACAGACAGCAATAGCGAACTTGAAGAAGATGACATCCTGGCCGAAGAACTTCCTGCTGAGTAACACCAAGTAGACTCTCATGTACATAAATCTGTAAATATGTGTAAATAGATTTAAAAAATACAAAAGTAAAAAAAATACAAAAAAAAAACAAAAAATACAAAAAAATACAAAAATACAAAAAAAAATATAAAAAAATACAAAAGTCTGATAGATCAAAACTTTTAATGCGGCCTCTGGCAGTCTCAAGCCTGCAAAACGAACTATTTAATGATTAAATAGTTTCCGAAACGCAGAGAGAAAGTTTTACTGTAACACTGTAACTTGCTTATCTCATACCTTTTTATTTTTATTACATAACTAGCTGTGTGCCTACGAACGTGTGACACATTGGATTGTTACGTTTAAAGCGAAATCGTGAAGATCTTCCAAGATAGCAGCAACATCACCCAGTGTAGTTGTGATTTTTTACTTGACACAACAGCATTCGAAACGCCGTTAATGAGTGGGAACCTCGATTGTTGGCTTTTGGCGCCGTTATCAAAACTCGAGTAGGGTACAACTTGATACACACTGATTCTCCGGTTCCCGACCTGGATGGTGGCTAGTTATTTCATTTAATTTACAATTTCATATTGCCCTTGCGATTAATCAAACCCGTTATTTAAGCCACACGGTTATTAACCTCACTTCTTTAATGTGTAAAATGTAAAAACAACAAAAAAAATATATAATTCTGACCAATCTACAGACATTTCTCAACTCAATTTTTATTTACAACTCTAATTTTATTTATATTGATAGATGCACTATTACTACAAACTTAAAAGTTAATTTTTTACTACAAGAGACAAATTAGCAGTTGGTTTTAATACTTCAAGTCGGCCGATTTGCATGGGACAAACATGAAAATTATTGTTTTTTTATAACCTAGAATACATTATTTTCAGATATGACGAATTGATTATATTTTCTATCAATCAATATATTTACGCTTTTAAGTGAAGTATTCAGTGAAGCGTAGTTGATGGGATTTAATCCAAGGGTCGGGAGGGTCCGTCGAAGGACCGGCCTAGCCATTGTCCTGCTCTACCCTCTGGTCAGGTAGTCTGCCTCAACTTAACATGAGACAGGCTTTAAAAATGGTAGAACATATCGGCGAAGATCCTGGTTCATTGTTTTTAGGAAACCTCATCTTGTAGGCGTTCTTCATTATATAGGCTAAATAATGATAATAAATTCTTAAAAAACATCTCTCTATTTTTTCTTCTGGGTCACGTTCTACGACTTTTCTATGTTTTCATAGTTAGCAAATCGGTTTTTTCAAGGATTGTTCAAGAAATACAGTAGGCCCTACCGTGTTAATTTATTTTTCTTATTTGGTAATATATATCAAATTGTCCAGGCTTTCTTGATTTTTCCCATTGTAATATGTACGCAAACCCAAATTCAAATAGTAAATATTAATTTCATCACTCCGTAAGGAAAGTAACTATTTTCGATAACTGCTGACGTCAATGAAAGTATTCGTTTCCCAAGCTCTAATTTAATAATCAGCTGATCGATTTCCCTCGCTCTAAATTTTCTTTCCCTCGCTCTCGATTAGTTCTCCATTTACTCACTACGCAGGCTAGTGTTTTGTTACGGTTTAATTTAATAATTTGAATCAGCTGTGCTTATTGTTGCACAATCTAAATCTATACAGAAACAGGCATTAGTTTTGTTTTGCTTTGTTTTTAACATAGTGCATGTTTGAAATTGCTCAAAGTATGTCTAACATTAATGATGATTGGATGAAAACAGCTTAACTTATCACCTTTCACGGGATAAATCACGGGAAAGATAAGAAGAGGAATAGAGAAAGCTTAACAAATTACAAAATGCTAAGTTAATTAATGTAAGTGACGAAGTATGTATTAATACATTTATCTAAATAATTTAGAAATATGAAACCATAAGTTGTGAAGTGTATTTTTAATAATAAAAAGTGGTATAAACTATTTTAATACTACTGAGATATGTTATTCTGTATGTGTGGATTTTTGTGTCGTGATTAAAAGTATTGTTCATAACTCGCACCCAAAGCTTTTTTTCCGACACTTGCTCCATTTTTCCCGTTCTCGGATTCCCCTCATACGTGAAAATAACTCTCATCTGCTCGGCTTTGCCTCGCACGTGAAATTTAGTTTTTCTGTGTTCGGCTTTGCCTCACACATGAAACTTGAGCGCGTGTCGGAAAATGCCCCTTTCGGACCTAGTAATGAAATATACTATTTCAACCAAATCAGTGTTTATACATACTCTTCCTTGAATTGCAAATATAAATGTTAACAGCAATTAAGTTATCCAGCTGATCATAATGTAAACAAATATGTTCTTCATAAGGATAACATGGGGACAGAGCCCATGGGGTTTTTTCAAAATGTAATGTCAGTTTGCAAATCTACGCGACACGCTCTTTCCAATTGTAAATGGTTACGATCGGTTAAGAAATGGCGGAGGAGTTCTAAGGACAAATTTTGTTTTGGCTTATTTATTATATAGATTCTGACAAGAACAAAGACAGGAACAAAAAACCAAACTACAACCAAAATTTTAAATTTTTATTTGGCTATTAATTAATTACACAAAAAAATCTTTACTTAGAAACGTACATAAACAATTCCAACATTTTGCATTTTTTACACTATCAAATAATAATAAACTATATACATTATCTTGGTGGGGGAATCATATTAGTAAACTGTTCTATCTTCTTAAAAAAAAACAAACTTTTTAGCATGCTATAAATTTATTTGTTAACCTGTCAATAACTCTTACAGTCAGAGAACATCTTAAATAACTCAGACTTATTCTAGTCATCAACAGTTAACAGAGTTTTTTCAAGGAAAAACATCCAAAAATATAGAAATTAGTTGTAGGCAGGGATTGTAGTTTTTGTCTTGAAAGGCAACACATGTACCAAGAGAACACTTTGTAGGCACTTTACTAAAATAAATAATTACCAAATGAATGCTTCATTTGGTATTAGAAGGCAGTTAAAAGGCATTTTTAGTCTCTCAAAATCTGTAAATGATTTAGAGAATAAATATTATAAAAAATTACTGGAGGCAAAGGTTTACAGGACATTATTGATTTTTTTTGTGGGTCTATAAAAGACAAACATATCAAATATCCCTGGAGAGGTCACAAATTTAAATGTAAAGGAAATAGTGTGAAGTCACTATAAAACCTTGATTTTAAAAAGTTCAGTACCGGTATACAATTTCTAACATTTAGACTAAGGTATATGGTAATATTAAAGTTTGAATCCCCTCATTAAAACATTGATTGTATTCTAGAGATAGTTAAAAATATAAAACAACATACATAAATATAGTACACTTAAAAATCTAAAGTTAATTAATACACATTTATAAAAATGAAATGGTTTCTTAATTTGTATTCTAATATGACTATTAGAAGAAATTTCCATAGTTTGCAATTTAGTTCTTAGTGATTAGATAAAAGTTGATTTTTTTACAAAGCAATTGAAAATAACCATATTATTAACACCAATTTTTATAAGGTTCTTTCAGTTATCCTATTGATCTATAATATACCTACATTATCTAACATACATCTATCATATGTGAACACATCAGTATGGTCTATTAAGAAACCATTAAAACATAAATAAAAAATATGGAAAAGAAAAAAAGGAATAAGAGAATAAAACACTTCTTTCACTCGCCTCTCAAACAGTCCAATATTAACAACTAACGTTCTACGTATTCGTATCCACTCATCACGCACAACTTTCTATACAATAAAGACAGTAACATTTTCTTACAAACTAATTAAAATAGCTAGTGAATACTTTGGCTCATAAACAAAATTCCAGATTTCTGTGTACATTTACAACATAAAAGTATGTACAATGAATACGGCGATTTACAGCCAATCTTCAGCTCCAACGGTACTTAAAGCTCTTGAAAAGGGGCTTACAAAATTGACAGAAACTAATCTGGGGCATTAAACCTTAAAGCTTAAATAAATCTATATGTTCCTTAAGAACAGAGTAACTTTACATATATACATTTGACAGTTTTAGGGTATATTTAAGTTTTTAAATTTTTAAGTTCAGTGCGTCCAATATGAATATTTGTCTTTATGTGTTTTGAGACAAAACTACTTGGTTTACATACTTGTCATTGCACTGGGATTAATAAATAAATAACGACAAAATGCAACACGGCGAGAAAATTAGGTAATGGACAACTAGGAAGCACACATGCAGTTCTAGCAGTCGTGGTTCAACCAGGATGTACTGAAACAGACAAAGTATAGGTTAGTGTGATTTACAGGGCCGGTTTAACCCATACGCGAACTACGCGGCCGCATATGGCGCCACGAAAAAGTGGCGCCGTAGCGCCAACGGAACAATTTTTTTTACGTGAACAACGTAATTTTGTTTTTTTTTCGCTCAGAGTTCAATTTTTAAAGCACCACAATAAAGGCATTTATTCTGTTTGTACCAACAGCACTTGAAAAATGTGTATATTTGTACTGCACTACAACTCAAGGACTCAATGCCATTTTCAGTTTCGATTGTAATGAGCTGACGCTCGGCAACGTACGGCGCGGCGCCTGTGCCCTGTAAGCCCTGTGGGTTTCATTTCACAACTCGCTCATGCGCTCGAGATAACTAAGCGCGCAGCGCCACTTGTCACAACAAGAAACTTCCCCCTTCCTTCCCTCCCTTCTGCCTCTTATCCTAGATGCAGACGTTGTATTGCACCATAGATAAAAGGAGTATATACTCTTTTTATCTATGATTGCACTCTTTTAGTTTTATACGTATACCGTATCGGCATCGTATTGGCGTTGTTTTGATGATTCATGATTGTTGATAAGTGAATGATTACGAGTGTTTTAGGTTTAACTTATAATTAGTGCATTAAATAAGAAGAAAGTATAAACTGAATAAATGAGTAAAATATCTTGCGAGCTATACTATGAAAACAATGGCAGAAAAAAAGAAAACGTCTGGCACTTATTATAGAAAGCGTAAGGCAAATTTG